AGCAGGAATTTGAGACCAGTATAGGTCTACTGCAAAACATGGGAGGAACTGAATGCAGTGCTGCTTGATGAAAGAGAATAGGTGACGCTAGTGCTTAAGAGATGCACTAGAAAGACAGGTTCTGTGTCAGTATATAATGGTAAGAATGTAAGTGAGATTATAACTCAGTACAGGAAAGACATGGACCTGTTGGAACAGGTCCAGAGGAGGCCACAAATGGATGGAACACTTCTGCTATGGAGAAAGGCTGAGAGAGTTGGGGTTGTTCAGTCTGGAGAAGAGAAGGTTCCAGGGAGACCAATTGTTGCCTTTCAATACCTGAAGGGGACCTATAAGAAAGATGGGGACAGACTTTTTAGCAGAGCTTTTAGCGATAGGACAAGGGGTGATGGTTTTAAACTAAGAGGGAAGATTTAGACTAGATGTAAGGAAGAAATTTTTTATTATAAGGGTGATGAAACACTGACACAGGTTGCTCAGAGAGGTGGTAGAAGCCCCATCCCTGGAAACATTCAAGGTCAGGTTGGATGGGGCTCTGAGCAACCTGATCTACTTGAAGATGTCCCTGCTCACTGAGGTCTAGATGACCTTTAAAGGTCCCTCCAACTCAAACTGTTCTATGATTCTATGATCCTATGATATAACTTTGAGATGCTAATAATATTTGGGATTTTTTAATTAAAAAAAATTTTGAAATGAGAGCCAGAAAAATGCAGGAAAACAGCCTTGGGTCAGCACAGCCTGGAGTGGCTGCAGATGACCCAGGCAGCATCAAGAAAATGCATATTTCTGTGTTGCTAAGTCAAAGCAGTCATTCCCATTACCAGCCATGGGGATGAATGCTTATTGCTAAGCCACTGACTACTTTTGACACTCATCCAAAAGCATAAAAGAGAAGCATTGAGTCAAATCTCCATTAAAATTAATTAGAAAATTTTAAGTTTCAAATGGCATCATGGGCCTCTTTATATTCCTTTCTTGACAACACTGAAATGCTCAAATATGCTAGTGCATTTTCACTCAAGAGTTCAAAGACTTTTTGTGTGAATTTCTAATTTAGTAATACCAATATTTTAGTATTTATTTTAAAAGGTACACTTCCCTGGTTCACTTAAGTTTCTGACAGACAATCTCTGGCTAATTTGTTGTGGTAAGTTAAGATGGTACCTCCTCCAGCCTTTCTCCCTGTCTCTCTGTTACAGCTTGTCAATACTGCAGCAGGATGAGCAGAGGGGAAAGTTTGCTTCTACATAAATTGTTTCACCGCGAACTCTATTTTAGTTGAAATTACTGATAAAGGTGAGTTTGAACTGAGGTGCACATCTACAGAGACACATATTCCTGTTAGCCCTGCACTAAAGAGGATAACCTCTGACAGAGAGAGCAGGCAGACAGCTGAGTTCATGTATCATCACTTAGCTATCAAAACTCAAAATACAGAGGTCACATAAGCACAAAACAAATACAGCACAAAGTGAGATGTATTTAACCCGCAGTAATTCCACACTTGACTCTTGACACCACATATTTCATGAACAAACTTCAGATGGTGACTTTCTTGCTGACAGTGTCTGGAGAATAAGTAAAAATACATAAGTATAGATGTATGAGCATTTAATGATCTGTTAGAAATAAAATATGTAGAATAAATTATTAACTACGGTTTCTTTATTTCAGTCTTCCTTTACCCCATAGTTAACCTTTAAAAATGCAGGAGAAGAGCACACACACCAGTTACATCAAGCATTAGGCTTTAAACATCTGCTAAGGAATTACAATCGAGTTGTACTGATAGCTGAGGCTTTTTCTCCACAGAGTGTAAGTAAAGATCTCTGTAAGCAACTACAAGGTATTCTTAACTGTTCCAAAACTGAAACACTGACTTGCACATTTCAGGTTGCCCCAAATGAGGGACTAAAGTGATTCTGCTCTGAATTATATCTATTTGCAGGCCAACAGAAAAACCCTGAAGTAACCACACAGTCATTAGGAAACAAAGTAAAAAAGATATTTTTCTTTTTCTCCATAACTTTAAAATAATGAGGAGGTAAGAGATCTATCAACTGGAGCAAATGCCAGACCTGACGAGTGTTTTTCAAGAATGCTTTGCTGCAAGTATCAACCATAAGCACAATTCTGTCGCAACAGAACATAACACAGAAGCCTGAAGTTCTTGATCATTTTCAGAATAATCTTTACATCTTTAAGTGGAATGGGAAACAAGACAAAGCAAGGCCCCTCTCATCTCAGCATCTTCAGAAGAAAGACAGCTCTACTCTGAATGATATTTCTGATCCATTTTTTTGCTGGCAGCACTAAGTATGGGCCAAATGCAACCTGGACTTTTGTGAAGTTATAACTTGGACTGTAGATGTTACAAAGTCAGCCAAATACCCCTAGAGATGGCAGCAAGCCCAGCAAGTATATCCACACCATACTATAGTCTCAGCTACACAGATGCATATGTTGTTTTAATGGAAGGCATGGATACAAATCAATCTAGTTAAACTGATACACAAGGCTATGTTTAGGTCTGGTTTAAGTCAAGTGAAACCACATTTAAGGAAGAACAAAAAGAATCCCTCAATAATTCTCTGTTCCTTTTCTCTACTCACCATTGCCCTCGAAACAATGCCAATATCAACAGCATTTACCATGAATGTCATGGTATCTCTCCCCTCCACACTTATCATGATTCCAGAGTAATTAATTATTATTGTGTCTGGTCTTCTGAAGATCATTTCTGGCCCTGCATACATCAGTCCCAGGTATGCGCATTTTGCAAGTCACATTTGTATATAATGCAAGGTTCGTAACTTCAAATCCTCCCTCCTTTTTATCTGAACCTTGCCCCACTTGGCAGATGAAAGCGTCCATCCTCGCAGTGTCCTGCCACTATGTCCAGGGCTTGGCCAAGCCCTGGTGCCATCCCAAAAGGAGTCTGCTCTCTGTCTGGGCAAACAAATGATAACTAAGTTGACCTTATCAAGGGGACAGGAGCATTTACAAAGAGGGGGAGCAGAGAATGATCTAGTGCAAGAAAGGTCAAAAACTACAAACTGGACCAATAAGTAAGAAATTGATGGTAAAGAGGGGAGGTGAGAAAAAGAAGAATGAAATCATGGTGGAAGACAGAGAAACCCTGTGGAGAGGGTGGGATGTAAAAGCAAACCTTCTTCCTCATACCAGCATTCCTTCTTGTGAACACCATATGCACTGGCTGTGCACCAGTATCAAATACCTGCCCACAGGGATTAGGGAAGAAAGCACAGCTTCTCATCTGGCTACAAATAAGAACCACCACTAAAATTTCATCTCAACCGGTCTTTCCTTCCTGACACCTGTGTCCTTCTAAGCCTTGGTAATGGTGCTGTCTCTCTATATGTTCCAAATAGATCCTTGCTTTTGCTTTTACCTAGACTGAGCTTGTATTACGGACAATTTCAGAGTAAACTGCAAGCCTAGACATACTCAGTCCATAGGTATGATGTGCCTTAAAATGAGAGACTGGAGTATTCTTGAAGCATTCAGCATGCCAGGGTGTCTGAAAGGCAAAGGAGACTTCTTCCACACATGGCAGGTCACGTAGAGAACTTCTAACACTACAATGTAGATGGAAAACTAATCTGCCAGCAGC